CTCCTACTTTTGTTGTCTGGCATCAGGCAGCCTTTGTGGCAGTGACCTTCAGGCTTGCTAAAGGCTACAATTTTGCCTGGAGCTCTCCTTCCTTATGAAATTACACAACACTCAAACCTTGGAAGCAGCCCCACATCCACTAATTCTTTTCTTTGACGGACTCTTGGCAATGTGTGTTCCCTTTCTGCAAAAGTGTAGCTTTATACAAGACTTGTTTGTTACTGAAATTAATTTGGCCATTTGCCCTTTATACCTAGAATCAAATGGTATTATGGCAGACCCATTCCTAGATAAGTATAGAATCTCAGCTGGAGAGTTTCTACCAAAGGTTTTATTGTTTCTGGTCAAGGTCAACAGTTACTAACAATAGCAGCTGATACTTTTTTTATTATTTATTTTTTAGTTGTAGTTGAACATAATACCTTTATTTTACTTATTTTTACGTGATGCTGATGATTGCATGTGCTCTACCCTTGAGCCACAACCCCAGCACAAAGCTGGTACTTTTTAATAGGATTGGTGCCTTGTGTTAGTACTATGCTGTTCAGCATGTTGACAACCCTCACAATCCCTTAGAAGCAGAAGGTATCTGAATTTTTCTAAGAAACTGAAGCCCATGACCTCAGCCCTTTGACCATTATATAGCTAATAAGTAGCCAAACTTATTTGAACCCACATTTTTTTTTCTTTTTTAAGAATTTTTTTTAGGGCTGGGGATGTGGCTCAAGCAGTAGCGCGCTCGCCTGGCATATGTGAGGCCCCGGTTCAATCCTCAGCACCACATACAAAGATGTTGTGTCCACCAAAAACTAAAAAAAATATTAAAAAATTCTCTCTCACTCTCTTTAAAGAAAATTTTTATTGTCAGTGGACCTTTATTTTATTTATTTATTTATACAAGGTATCGAACCCAGTGCTCTTACATTGTAGGCAAGCTCTACCATTGAGCTACAGCCCCAGCCCCAGCCCCTGAATCCACATTCTTAATTATTATGCTGTACCCTATTTTTACTATGTTGGAGAAGGAAAAATTATTGAACACTGTGTTTCAAGAGAATATAAAATCACAGCCTGAATCATAGAATTGTAGGATGAAATTATGGAACCCAGAGAGCTAATACAACCTATTTTAAAGGAGCAATGATGTCTGCCAGTTCTGAGAAATAGTAAGATAACAGCTTGAGCAGAGGGGAATACATACTGATAAGTGACCGGAATGAAAGGTTATTAGGAATTATCTAAGCCACTTCCTTTTTAAGAGGTAGATAAAATATAACCTGCCTGTTCAAAGAATTATCTAAGCTTCTCTTGCTGTCCTTAGGAAACTGTGGAAACAGATGTGTACCCTTTTTATTTCAGATTGTATTATCCACAGTAAGTAGATTTCCATTGACTACTTGAGATTTCCTAGATGGTAATTTTTCACCCTGCAAGAACCAATAACCTTCAGGGGAATTATTTGAAAAGATGTAGCATAGAAAGCACTGAATTTCAATCAATCATGTGTTTAATGAGTTCCTTCTTAGCAAGGCAATATTTCTGGAATAGTGGGGAGTAAAAATAAGTTGATGGGTGGTCTGTGCCCTCCTGTAGTTTATAATCTACTTGAGCAAACCAGCCAGGCATACAATTAAATTGTTCAAAGGGAAAATCCCAATGAATTGTGTAGTCAGGGAACATGTCTATTGCCAGGTGGGAAAGTGATTGAAGGTGGCAGAAGGCATCTGGAAGGAAAGACTCAAGTAGAATGTGGGAGAAGTCACTGGGAAGACAAATGACTCATTAGCAAACCTAAAGGTGGTGATAAAAGAGAATGTTGAAAAGCTCTTTTGGATTCTAATGAAGGCCCTATGTAAATACAATTTGATAGTTTGGCCTTTTTTTTTTTTTTTTTTTTACAAAGGATTAAGCCTAGGGTGCTTAATCACTTAGCCACATCCCCAGCCCCTTTTATTTTGAGACAGGATCTTGCTAAATTGCTTAGGGCCTCACTAGATAGATTGGGAATTTTTAATGGATAGATTTTTAAATAACTTTTTAAAGGAAACACTCAAGTAATCCAAACACCAAACTCCTTTACCTTCTGTGCTCCCAGGGTTAAATATTTTATTATATAACTTATTATCTTATGTAAGTGCCCTTACTATTAATTAGATAGGAGGCTTCCTCCAACTCTATTGACAAAAAGTCCTTGATACTCTTGGGAAGAATTTCCAGCACTTCCCTTTTGCTAATAAAGGTGTCCTCAAGTGACCAACTCCTGGGTGATGACATATGCAAAAGTGTTAAAAATAGTGTTCCTACTCTAAGGAATCAGCTGCCAAATGCTTTCTAATAAGCAGAAAATCACATAACTCAGGCCTCTGGGGGCTCACGCCTCAGCTGGAGCAAAGCCATGTCTGTGACTGCAGGTGCACTTGGGCACATTGGAACCTGCTAGTAGTTGGCTGCCTTCACTTGCAGTTGATTTAGGAGAGGACTGGAGGGTTGAGCTTTGGCTGATATTTGCTTAGAAAATCTTGCTCCACTAATCAATGGAAATTCTGCAATAATGATTTTTTTGGTAAGATAACATCTCATTTTGAATTCTTTCATTTGAGTTCTAGATGCTTCCCAGCCTTTATTTTTATTGTTTTAACTTCTGGTACAGGAGGCTCTTTGGAAGTTTCTGTCTGTATATGAATGTGCTTTTATAGAGTGGTACATGGCTATGGTTTAAGAGCCTCAGTATGTACTTCCTGAGCAAGCAAGTAAACAGTCCCCTTTGCAGGAATTGGTGCACACTCCGTCTTCTTGCCCCTGTTCCTGTCCAAATAAAATCATGGGGATTTTGCTGTTACTGGTAAAGAAAGGAAAGTTAGAGGTCATATTGACCTCATGATTTGCTGAGAGCTTGCCTCCTCAACAGTGTAATTTCTGAACCTCTGATTTTTGAAGTCTGATTTCTATAGTGAACACAGCACTGGAACAAGGAGACTGGGAGAGTTAAGTTTGTCTGCTTCCTCAATGTGGACTTCAGGCCAGAATCTTTAACTCTTTGGTCTTCAGTTTCCTCAGCTCCTCTATCCCATGGAGCTGAAATGCGAGTAGATTACATACATCACTATATTTTCAGACAGAAGTCTACAGGTTCTGCCATGTGTACAGTGATGGCTTATGGTCTTTGGTCATGGGATTTCTCTGTGAATTGATTAAAAGTCACAGGTTCCAAAACATATCTTAGAGACCAATTTTGCATGCATTTTTTTGAGATGCTTATCTATATGTGCCCCAGCAAAGGTGATGATGGCCCCTAGGCTAAGAAAGTCATATCTATAGTCCGTTTCAAACTCTTCAATATTTGATTACATGAAGCTTCTCATACTCGTCCCATCACTTCCACTTAACACTATACTTTATTCACACGAGAATTCTGACATCTTCCTAAGTAACCATCTGCAATAGTTAATTTTGTGTGTTAACTTGACTGAGATAAGAGATGTTTAAATAGCTAGTAAACTGTTATTTGGGTGTGTCTGTGAGGGTATTTCTATTTTTAAAAAATATTTATTTATTTTTTAGTTTTCCGCGGATACAACATCTTTGTATGTGGTGCTGAGGGTCGAACCCGGGCCGCAAGCATGCCACTCGAGCACACTACCCCTTGAGCCACATCCCCAGCCCCATGAGGGTATTTCTAGATGAGGTTAACATTTGAATTGTAGACCAAATAAAGAAGATTGTCTTCACCAACTTGGGCAAGGAATCAGTGGAGGGCTGAAATAGAACCAAAAGGCAGAGAAGGGCCAATTCACTCTGCATGAGCTAGGACATCCCGCTTATACTCAGACCTGGGTGCTCCTAGTTCTCAGTCCTTGGGACTGGGACCAGAACTTACATCATAGACACCACCTTCCCCACCCACTTTTCAAGCCTTTGGTTTTAGACTTAGATCATTGTCTTTGGTTAGTAGGCCTTTGGGTTTGGATTTGAAGTACACCAACCAATTTTCTTGAGGTTCAAACTTGCAGATGCCAGATTGTGAGATGTAGCCTTTGTAATCTTGTGGCCAATCCTTCAGGATAACTCCATATAATCTGTATATCCCATTGGTCTGTTCCTCTGGAAACCCTAACCCATTTTGCAAGTATCTTCGAGGCCTGCCTATTGTGGCTACAGGGCTTATGGACACACGACCCCATGTCTTTATTTTTTTTAATTTTTTTTTTTAAGAGAGAGAGAGAGAGGAGAGAGAGAGAATTTTTTAATATTTATTTTTTTAGTTCTCGGCGGACACAAAATCTTTGTTGGTATGTGGTGCTGAGGATCGAACCCAGGCCGCACGCATGCCAGGCGAGCGGGCTACCGCTTGAGCCACATCCCCAGCCCCCCATGTCTTTATTTACATGTTACAAAGCAGGGTGAGAAAGTCTTGCATTCACACCTTCAAACCCTTGCAGCTTGAACTATTTCCTCCATTGTTACCTCTGTGAAGTTGACTCCAGGCCCATCCAAAAGTTCTTTTAATTGTGCTCTGGGTAAATTTTCTAAGGTCTCTTTAACCACATAGTATCACACCTAGTTGGTTGGTTCTGTTTTTCTCTCCCACAAGACCACAAGCCCTCAGCTGTGGTATATTTTATTTAGTTTATCTCCCAGGCCTCAAAAGGAGCGCTGGGAGATAAACCGGCTGAGCGCTCAGTACACATGGATTGAACCAGTCAATGCAAGAATAAACGTACCACCCAAGTCCTGCAAGCTTTCAACGTGCTCCATGCTGATTTTGCTTTTCGTGTCCAAACAGCCCTTTTGGTAAAGGTCAGGAGTTTGGGGGTATGTGGGGAACAAACGAAGGGAGAAGGTGAGAACACCATCGCGCTGGGGACGTGAACGCGAGAGAGACCGGACAACTTCTTTACCTCCCGGAAGCTGCAGCACCGGCCTCTCCGCGTCCCTCCGGAAGGTGGGCGTGGCCCTCATGAATAGTGAATCGCCGCGGGGGAGGGGCTGGGCCCGCCCCCTCGGGCGGGAAGGGGGAAGCGCGGAGGCTGCCTGACTAGAATGAGGGTAGCTCCGGCGACTGAGGCGGCGGGAGCGGGGCCGGCCATGGCGGTGTGGACACGGGCCACTAAAGCGGGGCTGGTGGAGCTGCTCCTGAGAGAGCGCTGGGTCCGAGTGGTGGCGGAGCTGAGCGGGGAGTGTCTGAGCTTGACGGGCGACGCCGCGTCAGCCGAGTCGGAGCCCACTCTGGGGCCGGCGGCGGCCGCCTTCAACGGCCTCCCG